GAGCTCCTTGAAGAACTACCATTCAATGGACAGAGCCCAATTTTCCATGCAAAAATTTCCTGGGTTTAGTTGCTGATATTTCCAATGAAGTAACAACAAGTACATATTACCTAGATGAATACCCAATAAAAGGACCTCCCTATATTTCTGAGGGCAAGATAAATTCAGCAAATTTTGTGCTAAATACCCATACCCACGTGTTTCAGTGCTTTCAAAAAAATGTAAAAGCATGTTTTCACAACTTTTTTCCCAAATGGGAAAAAAATCATATGAAAAAAATTGATCTCAGTTCTGACACTTTTTCTTCAGACTAAAAAACTCTTTCTGGAAACAAGACATTAGTCGGAATCAGTACTAAGTATTGAAACTGTTCCTTCTTTCCACTTACAATATCAAGGAAGTAAACAGCATGACTGCCCCAACTCCTGACATACATGACATATTTTCTGGATTAGTGGAGAGTACTAGCACCATAACCTGTGTGATACAGGACACATATGGGTCAGGTCCCTTGGCTGTAGGCAGTAGTTTTATCAAGATCAAAGTAATCAAAAAAGACACAAGTGGAAAAAATAATACAGCTAATTTGCAAGTAGCTTAGTTTGGCAGTATCCTGAAAGGGAAGACCACAAACAAAATACTGCTTGTCCTGAAGAAAGCCTGGCAAAAGATAACCTAGCAAAAGTGGCTGGTGTGAGCACTGTGCTTTGGTGGTAGAAAGGTTGTGGATATGCTACAACAAAGAACAAAGGTCAAGAACTAAGAATATGATATTTCTAGACACATTGTTTACAGGGTTGATGTGTGTTTTCCGGGCTGTACGGCCATGTTCCAGAAACATTCTCTCCTGACGTTTTGCCTGCATCTATGGCAGGCGTCCTCAGAGGTTGTGAGGTCTGTTGAAAACTAGGCAAGTGGGGTTTATATATCAGTGGATATAAACACTGTTTACAGCTTGAGAGAAAATGAAATAATAACAACAGAGCCCAGAGAGAGAAGTATCAATGACTAACTACAGTTAGCAATAAAGGAGGCTAATAAAGACAAGACATAAACAAAAAACTCATTTATTTTTTCTCTGTACTGCTCTCCTATCCCTAATATACTGAAGAAATAATTACATAATTTAAGAACAGGCAAGTGTCTATATTACTAAATACCAATAGTTGTCTTCCCCATAGGTTTGGTATCATAGATTATATGTAAATTAGGCCATACATTTCAAGTAATCCTTTTCTTTTCTCAATGTTTTGAGATGAGATTTACTAACAGCTTTATTTACTGACCTTCTCACTCTAATGGTATATTGTCAGCAATATATTCAAAAATATGTTTTAAAAGATTTCTGAAATTTTCACACTACATTTTCTAGCTTAATTTGATTAAACATCATAGATTGGATGTATAACTTTTGCTATAACAATGATTTACAACTGTTCACATAGAATGAAGAGGTATAAAGATTCATTTCTGTACATGACAAGGGATCTATACAAACAGTGTCATAGGAAAGGAGAACTAATACTGAGAGGCAGGCTTCCATATCTGCATTCACAGATGAACTGAAACTGTTGATACGCACCCCATAAAAAGCCTACTAAAGCTGAATTAACAGAATCCAGCACATCAGCCTAACCTCATTTATGTGGGGAAAAGTCCATCAATGTCACTGATGATTTTCCCTTTGCAATTTGTGGCTAAGACTGCAAACTCAAACCTACTTAATAGCTCAGTGGGGATTACTTACAAGTAGACATATGTAGGATTAAACCATTAAAAGCAATCCTCATAAAACATCCATAAAGTGTATTTCATTGTTTATATGTAACCTCATAACCAAAAGTAATTGTGTGTGTGTATATATATACCCATAGATGTGGAGCTTGTTTCCAAAAGGTAACCAATCTATTTGAACACATTTTACAGGAATCAGAAAAAGCATGCTGAGGATAATTACTCTTTTGCTGTAATGTGCCATTTTCCAAGTCCTGTGCAGAAAATATTTGATATATTTTGATAGTTTTGATCTGTGCATAATATTCTACTCCTAGTCAACAATGTACTGCCACCTACAACTCATTTTTCAATGTTTTGAATTTAGAAACAAAGTCCACAGATGTATTCTTAATATATTTCTGAGTCCTCTCTCTCCTTTAAAAAGTATGTGCCAGGATGAGACATTACTATATTATCATACAAAACGACAAGTAATTGCTCAGTACTTGCATGATACAGTTTTATGGCATGCAGTAGATGTGTTTGTCTGAGCAGCGCTACATATGGACAGATAGATGTTTTAACCCTCACAGGATAAGCAAGTCAAGCTCTCTGTACATTATTTGTAAATGTCAGACAGCTGCTGCTCTATAAATTGACTATAGTGTAAAAACTTTTGAACTACTTACATATGTTTATGACATACTTATATGCACATGATAAATCCACACATCAGCCCTCATAATCTATGCAGATCAGAAGTAAAGATCTAATCTGATAACTGGGACACCGTTAAGTTGTGCATTCTTAAATCCACAATCATGGGGAAAATGCAGGTAAAATTTCTATAAAGAGAGGAAAAACTTGCAAATCAGGGATGGCTCAATAAAACATATTTGCTGTGTTCACTTCAAGACATGCAAGTTAGAGAACATTTTCTTTCTGCTGCTGTGTGGGAACATGATGGGAATAACTTGCAACTTCAGCTTGTTTACACATTTTTACTGTGAAACCAGACAAGGGCTCAATCTTGCAATAAACAAAATGTGAAATTGGGTTGCTGTTTTTCAGGCTGTATGGCCATGTTCCAGAAGCATTCTCTCCTGATGTTTCACCCACATCTACGGCAGGCATTCTCAGAGGTTGTGGGATCTGTTGGAAACAAGGCAAGTGAGGTTCATATATCTGTGGAATGTTCAGGGTGGGAGAAAGAACTCTTGTCTGCTTGAAGCCAGTGTGAATGTGGAAATTGATCACCTTGGTTAGCATTTAGTGGCACTGCAGCTTAAAGACCTGGCTGCTTCCTGCCTGGGGGAATCCTTTGTTGGGAGGTAATCAGCTGGCCCTGATTGCTTCTTGTCTGGAATTCCCATGTTTTTAGTGTTCTTTATTTATTTATTTACAAGGTGATCTGTTGCAGCATTCACACTTGCCTTAAACAGACAAGAGTTCTTTCTCCCACCCTGGACATTCCACAGATATATAAACTCAATTTTCCTAGTTTCCAACAAACCTCACAACATCTGAGGATGCCTGCCATAGATGTGGGTGAAACCCCAGGAGATAATGCTTCCAGAGCATGGCCATACAGCCCAGAAAACTCACAGCAGCCCACTGATTCCGACCATGAAAGCCTTCGACAATACAAAATGTGAGGTTACCTTACTGATTTGGGTCAGAATTTCAAAACAGAAATGAAACATTACATCATGTGCAAAACAGATAAAATCTCTGGATATTGAAATAGGCTCCTCTCAATTGGTTTTATGTAACACATCAGCACAGGAGGTCCCCATCCGCAAACACAAAGACACTTTCTTTTGAAAGTGAATCAAAGAAAGCCATATTTTAAAAGCAAAATTACTTCTTTATATGACTAACACAAACCTTCTAAAACTTGCACTCATCAGCAATAGTATCCACACTTCTCTTCCATGTAGCCATTGCAGGAATGTCTCAAAAGATATGTGAGATACTCCATATGTGAAGGCCACCACTACAAAGGTGTAAAAGAAGGCAAGCAGGCAAGCCTGTACCACTTAAAGCACTTTTCCAGGTTTGAGATGCAGATCTCAGCAAACCTGATGTTTCAAGTCTAAGGAAACTCCAAAGGACATCTAGCTGAGGCCAACCAGAGGCAGGGCAACCTCTTCTGGCAGGTTGCAGCAAAAGCAAAGGAGTCCTGTGGCACAGTGCACTTGTTTGCACTGAAGGCAAGAGAGGACACCTTGCTGGAGGGCGGGCGGGCGGGCGGGAGGGGGAAGACGAGTACAAGAGGCTGTCAGCAGGGCGACTATTTTGCCAGCTGCGATCGATGACATTTCTGCCTAAGGTTGCTGTGAATTTTCTGGGCTCTCTGGCCATGTTCCAGGAGCATTCTCTTCTGACATTTCACCCACATCTATGGCAGGCATCCTTTGAGGTTAGGGGGTCTGCTGGAAACTAGGTTTGCATATCAGTGGAATGTCTAGGGTGGGGAAAAAACACTTGTCTGTTTGAAGAAAGTGCGAAAGTTGCAATTGGCCAGCTTGATTAGCATTGAATGAGGTTTATATAGCTGTGGAATGACCCCCAGGCAGCAACCACTCAGGCTTTGAAGCTGCGAGGCCATTCAATGCTAATCAAGGCGGCAAGCTGCAACATTCACACTTGCCTCAAGCAGACAAGAGTTCTTTCTCCCACGATGGGAATTCCACAGATATATAAACCTCACTTGCAGACAAGAGTCCTTTCTCCCACCCTGGACATTCCATAGATAGATAGATAGATAGATAGATAGATAGATAGATAGATAGATAGATAGACAGACTTGCCTAGTTTCCAAACCCCATTTTCTCTCAAGCTGTAAACAGTGTATCTAAATCCCATTTTCCTAGTTTCCAACAGACCTCACAGCCTCTGAGGATGCCTGCCATAGATGTGGGCGAAAGGTCAGGAGAGAATGCTTCTGGAACATGTCCATACGGCTCGGGAAACTCTAAGCAACCGGCCATGAACACATTTCTGCCTAAGCTGCCCATCGGCCAATACTCAGCCAGGAAGCCTAGGGATGGCTACGCACTGGATCATCTCGGAGTTTCCTTCCAGAAGGCACTTCCAGGAGCGGGACGGTTCCCAGATCTCCCGAGGGGCTGCTTGCTTCTCCCACAACTTTGCGAGGGAGAGGGGCAGGCGGGGCGCTCTCCTCCCTCCTCCTCCTCCTCCTGGGAAGAAGGGGTGACTGGGCAGCGCCCCCTCGGCCCCTCCTCGGCCTGCCTCCCCGCAGGCGCAGCCGAAGGACTCACCTGTCTGTCTAGGGCAGCGGGGCGCGGGCGAAGGGGAGCCCCGCGAGGGCCCGGGTGGCGCTGGGAGCCTCCGCCCTGCCAGCCGGTGGCGATATAAATAACATTATCTGGGCAAGCAGGGACATTCCTGCCCAGGGACCGCGCTGCTGCCCGGCCCAGATAGTCCCGCTCCCTCCGGGGGAGGGAAAGAAGCGCGAGGAAGAGGAGGAGGAGGAGGAGGAGGCAGGGAGGAGGACGAAGAGGAGGAGGAGGCGGAGGCGCCTGCCCTGCAATGCAGCACAGCGGCCCCCCCAGGCCAGCGCCAGCAGCGGCACCTGGCGAAGCCCAGCGCAGCAGCAGCAGCAGGAGCAGGAGCAGCAGCTGTACCCCACAGCCCAGCGAGAGGGCCACACCCCGCGGAAAGAGCCCTTCTCGAGGCCTCAGGTCAACAACAGCTCCGCCGCTGCACAAGTCTATGTTGGAAAGGGAGAGTGCCGCTTTTCAGGGGATTTGAAACAGCTGCTTTGGCGGGAGAGCGGTCTTCCAGGTGCTCTTCTTGAGCCAATAGCGGCGAGGACAGAAAGAGAGGGGGGGGGGAGAAAGGGAGTAACACTAACAAGGCGGGGGAGTTGGCTCGCGCTTTTCTCCCTCTCTCTCTGCCTCGGACTGACTGACTGTCTGGCGCGCAAGGGGAGCACGCGCCGCTCCGCGAGGCGGGGATTGTTGGAGAACGTCTCGTGAAGGAGGCTCGCGCGCCGACTGCTTGCCCGCCCGCCCGCCCGCCCGCCCCCCTCCCTCTCTAAGGGAAGGAAGGAGGGATGGAGATCGGGGTGGCACGCGCTGTTTGGCTGCTCGGAGGGGCTTGCCGCAGTTGTTCAGCCGGGCCGTTGCGTAGTTGTTACCCCACTCCAGGAACCCCCGGTGGCGCAGTGGGTTAAACCCTTCTGCCGGCAGGACTGAAGACCGACAGGTCGGAGGTTCGAATTCGGGAAGAGCGCGGATGAGCTCTCTCTAGCAGCTCCAGCTCCCCATGCGGGGACATGAGAGAAGCCTCCCACAAGGATGATAAAACATCAAAACATCCGGGCGTCCCCTGGGCAACATCCTTGCCGACGGGCAATTCTCTCACACCAGAAGCGACTTGCAGTTTCTCAAGTCTGTCCTGACACGACAAACAAACAAAACACTCCCACCCATCCCCATTAGTTGGGCACACACCAGGGATAGGGGCAACCACCTATTCCCAATTGTCTCGCGTACATTTCTGAATGGGAACCTTCCCCCCCAGCCATTCCCGATCTTTAATATTTTAGAAGGCGGCTGATGAACAAAGCAGGCTCCGCAGCCCGGGCCTTCGTCAGGAGCAAGTGTTTTGCACAGTCAACGGGTCTTCCTTCGTCTACTCGTTCAACACTCACACTAGACAAAACAAACAAACAAACAAACAAACAAAAAAACCCCCACAAAATAGACTCAGTTGAAAAATAACCATTGAGAGACCAAACATGTAGAATTAAAGGCACCTTTGGGCATATGGCTAACCCAGGTTTTTTTCTCCAGTCCCAGAAATTATCTCAACAGTTCGCCTGCAAACTTACCCCAGAACCTTCATCACACTAGAGAACGAATCCACTTAAAATCCATTTTCTGCCTCCTGCAGAATTCTGGGGTTTGTAGTTTAGGGAGGCTGTTAAAACGTCCTCCCAAAATTACAAACCCCACAGTTCTGCAGCAGGCAGAAACCGGATTTTAAGTTGATTCCTTCTCTAGGGTGATGAGGCTCCTGGATCATCATACTAGAGAGAAAATCCACTTAAAATCAGGTTTCTGCCTCCTGCAGAATTATGGGATTTGTAGTTTAACAGTTTCCCTAAACTACAAACCCCATAATTCTGCAGGAGGCAGCAACAGGGTTTTAAGTGGATTTTTTCTCTCTAGTGTGATGAAGAAGGCCCCATCTACACTAATTGGGTTATCTGAGTCTGTACTGCCATATAATCCAATTCAGTCTGTATTATAATACCAGTATTGGTGGGCCTGAGGCTTTCTCAAGTCTTATGGGAACCCTATCAGGGGCTGAGGCCCCATTCCACACAGCTGTATAAATTCCACATTAAACTGGATTATATGGCAGTGTGGACTCAGATAACCCAGTTCAAAGCAGATATTGTAGATCCTCTGCCTTGATATTCTGGGTTATATGGCTGTGTGGAAGGGCCCTGAAAAAGTGTGGCTTGCTTCGGGTCACCCAGAAAGTTGGAGGCCCCGTGATGCAATGGGTTAAAGCGTGGTCTCAATCTGTGGGTTTTGGCCTACCACTCCCAGAAATCCCAGCCGGTTTACCAGTTGTTAGGATTTCTGGGAGTTGAATACCTAAACATCTGGGGACCCACAGGATGAGATCCACTGGGTTAAACCCTTGTGTCGGCAGGACAGAAGACTCACTGGTCAGAGTTCGAATCTGGGGAGAGCGCGGATGAGCTCCCTCTGTCAGCTCCAGCTCCCCATGCGAGGGCATGAGAGAAGCCTCCCACAAGGATGGTATAAGATCAAGAACATCCGGGCGTCTTCTGGGCAACGTCCTTGCAGACGGCCAATTCTCTCACACCAAAAGCAGCTTGCAGTTTCCCAAGTCGCTCCTGACACCAATCAGTCAATCAATCAATCCCAGAAGGTTTCCATGACAGAAGCAGGGATTCGAATCCTGGCCTCCAGAGTCGTAAATTGCATCTATACTGTGGAATGAATGCAGTTTGGTGCCACTTTGGCTGCCATGGCTCAAGGCTATGACATCCAGGGATGTGTAGTCTGCTGAGGCCCAGCGCTCTTTGGCAGAGAAGGCTAAAAATCTCCTAAAAGGACAGCTCCCCTGATTCCAAGGCATGGAGCCAGAGCAGAGAAGTGGTGAGGGAATCGGAAAATGAGGAGGAGGCGGCCAGATTGCTCGGTCCGCTTTGAAAACAAAACGACACCCAAGCTCCCAACACACAACCTGCCAGCCTTTCTCTCCTGCCTTCCTTCCTTCCTGCTTTCACTCCCTCAGCGAGTGGAAAATTTGTGAGGCTGCAAAGGAGGCATCCGAGGCTGCCCGCTCCTCCCTTTCCCAATCATGGAGATCGATGGAAGAGCTCGCTCTTGGCTCACTCAGCCCCCAAAACCTGAAACGGAGAGGAACCAGAGCGATTCGTTCCGCATAAGAGCCTCCCCCCCACACACACACACACACACAAACAACGCCACAAACAACAACAGCGTCTGCAAGAAAAGGAGTAATGGGGTCGCCTCAAAGGGAAGGAAAGGCGCAGTGGCATTTCTGCGCCGCTTGTGAGGAGGAAAAAAACGCCCTATAGAAGATGCTGAAGTGAACTGAGAGCAAACAGAAAAAGACTGGATCCTTTTTCCGGATCTCTGTTGCTACTAGACGCCTTGCTCTTCGTCCAGACCTTTCAAATCTCCTTTACTCACAGAACGTTGCTTACTGTGTTGTCCACTTTCATGGCCAGAATCACTTTATAGCCTTGCAGCTTCAAAACTTGGCTGGTTGCTGCCTTGGGGGGGGGGGGATTCTTTGTTGGGGTGTGTTAGCTGGCCCTGATTGATTCTTGTCTGATAAATTCTTTGAAGTCTCTGGAATGCCCTGTCCCCTGCCTCTGGAGATAAGGTTGACCCCATCCTTCACCTCCTTCCATAAGAACTTGAAGACTTGGTGGTTTTATCAGGCCTTCAATAATGACTAGTCACGAGTCTCACGCTCTTGGTCCAACAGTTGGGACTTGGACTTGTACCCCATCCGTTCCCCAGTTCCCTGTCATCTGAGGGCATGGTCATGGTTTATATTCAGCTCATTATCTATATCATGACCTGAGTCATGACTTACATGAATTCCAACATTACATTACTATATATATATTTAACTTAAGCCGAATGGATCCTGTTTAATTGCTCTGTTTCCATGCTCTTTCCTATGCTATTATACCTTTCTATCCACCTTATTGAACCACCTTATCCTTTAACCAGTTCACATAGTAGTCCTCCTCCTGCTCTCCAAAATTAGTCTGCTGTTGCTTTTCATGCTTGTTTATTATTGTTATGTTGTTTTATGCTGTTTTAATTTTTTATTGTTTTGTTAATTGTATTTTGCCTTAGGCTTGGCACTATGTAAGCCGCCCTGAGTCTCTTCGGGGAGATGGAGGCAGGTAGGAAAAAAAATAAAGTTCTTCTTTTCTTCCGGCCCAGACCTTTTTTATAGTCCTTTAATTGGCCCTGGAATTGAGTGGCCCCAGTCCCTTAGTAGGGCCATTGCTGAGACCAATCCTTGCACTGTAGCATTCAGCCAGCCTCATTTTCCCCTTCTCCTTGCACTAGCCTTGGCCCAGCCCAGTCCAAATAGTCCATGCCACGGGTCCTCAAACTAAGGCCCAGGGGCTGGATACAGCCCTCCAAGGTCATTTACCTGGCCCTCGCTCAGGGTCAACCTAAGTCTGAAATGACTTGAAAGCACACAACAACAACAACAATCGTATCTCATCAGCCAAAAGTAGGCTCACACTTCCCATTGAAATGCTAATAAGCTTATCTTTGTTTAAATTGCTATTCATTCTAATTATTGTATTGTTTTTAAGTGTTTTTCCCCACTACAAATAAGATATGTGCAGTGTGCATAGTTATTCATTAACTTTTTCATATTATAATCCGGCCCTCCAACAGTTTGAGGGACTGTGACCTGGCCCTCTGTTTAAATAGTTTGAAGACTCCTGGTCCAGGCCCTTCACTGAAATCTTTGCCCCTGGCAGCTTACCTTGCATGAAGAAGAGAGGGGAACTGGTTTTAAATTGATTTTAATGTTTATGTTGTGTTAACAGTTTATGCCTATGCTTTTGTTTTATGTTGTATGTTTTTGTATTATTTTGCATATGTGGAAACCACTCTGAGTCCCCTAGGGGAGATAGGATGGTATATAAATAAAGATTATTATTATTATTATTATTAAGATCATTAAATGCTAATCAAGGTGGCCAATTGCACCATTCACACTTGCCTCCAAGAGACAAGAGTTCTTTCTCCCACCCTGGATATTATTCCACAGATACAGAAACCCCACTTGCCTAGTTTCCAAACAGACCTCACAACCTCTGAGGATGCCTGTCATACATGTGGGTGAAACATCAGGAGGGAATGCTTCTGGAACATGGCCACACAGCACGGGAAACTCCCAGCAACCCAAAGTTGCTTAGCTTCTGTGGTTTTGAAA